GGAAACTCCGTCAACGTCAGTACTCAATCCAAAGACCTCTCGGACTCGGAAACTTCAGTTGCAGTCTTTGAACAACACATGCAAACGCACTCGGTTCCTGATTTGTTACTCTTGCATCATACCTTCTCTTAACCGAGTAATTACGAACCTTTATGCCTGTGATTCTTCTTTTTTATTATTAAATATTTTTCTGACACAGCGCACAAAGCCACTTTACAGTACTGTTAGTATGATATGCGGTACAGACGTATACACTAATACAATGTAAACATAAAAATGAGGATGTCCCCATGAGGTTCCTCAATGGGAAGTGAGGATGGAACGCTTAGGAGTTTTAGCTGATTTGTGAAAAACGTGGGATAACAGAACTTATGATGTGGAGATAAAATAGGATTTACCGGGCGCGGAATTTATCTTTGGGGGATCTGGTACGGATGCGGTTTAGGGCCCGTCCCCAAATTACGTAACGCAAATTTAGAGTATTTTGAAAGCCCCCTCTTACCCCTGTAACGCACCAACGCGCGATTGCACCCTCCCCCCATAATAATTATATAACGATTGCTACAACACCCCTATGTAAATGTAAAAAATGAAAATAAATTATAATTCAGTAAAAGAGTATTCATTTCATTCATTCAGTAACAACTTCTAATAACTTAAAATAATTTTGTTTTGAAACAATTTAACTAGACCATATTTTCATATTTCTGCGTGCCAAAAAAAGAACTATTTCAACAATGTAAAAAATGTAAAAAAAAAATCAATGTTACATAACAGTGATGGAATAACCAATTACCCCTATGTAACGAAGCGTAAAGCTGCCTCAAAACCCCTCTCCCCTCTTAGCCTTACGTAATTTATGGACGGGCCCTTAGATGAGGATGAGTATTTTTTTCCTAGTAGGAATGTCGTTTGGAAAGAGAGGTTTTGAAGCGTGTTGAAGAATCGTTCGGAGAGGCATGCGATGTGCTGCTTGGTTGGAGGGAATTTCAGGTAGCTTTGGGAATTTGTGCATTTGAAATGTACTATGAGGCCAGGGCCGGATTTAAATAGTGCGGGGCCCCAAGCACAAAATTGTGTTGCCCCCCACCAAAATAGCTCCATCTTTATTAAATAAAAAATGAATTATAGTACATGTACTTTCTGTACAGATACAAATGAAAACTGATAATTTGTTATAGATATTTTTACTTGTGTTACATTTTTTTACATCAAAATGTTTTGAAATTGTACATTTTTTTACACAGTAGACTACTAACAATTATTTCACAGACAAAAAATATGGTATGCGTATTTTTCCGAAACGCAGGGCCCCTGGTGAATGGGGCCCCCCAAGCAACTGCTTGTTTTGCTTGTAGGTAAATCCGGCCCTGTATGAGGCATTTAAAGACGCGCGAATGACTTTATTTTGTAGGTTTTGGACGTGTTTTATTGTGAAGGGGGCCTGTGATTCTAGGACAGAAGAATCTGCACCGTTCGTGTCTGAACGGCGCTCGAGGTGAGGCAGGTGTCTCGGCATCTGTTTTCCGGCGCGCGCAAAATCGTGTACTTCGCCACCGACTCGGTGCGCGCGTTGTAATCGGCTACTCGGATTCCGCCGACACGCACGGCTTGCGAGCACGCTGCGGTTTCCAAGACCCGCTCCCGCGCGGCGCCCCGGCGCGGGCGGGCGATCGGGTGTCGTTCGCTCAGCCCCGCGATCGACGCCTCTGCTTGCGATCCTGCTGTTGGGGGCACTAAGGCCCACTCACAGTGCAAGCATAAACATAAGCATAGAGTTGACATAAACGTTAGGACTACGTCCATAAGCGGACTCATTCACAATGCGTTCGCATAAGCATAACACGTAAGACGTTAACTTAAAAGCTTCTCAAGCTTCTGTGCTTGTGTTTAAGTAAGACATAAGAAATGAACCAATCACAGGACGGTAACTCAAAATCGAGAATCGAAATTGGAGTGAAGTCGATAGAAGAACTAACGTCATATAGGCATGGACACAATCGATACCTTGAAATCGATTCTCACATCCAACCAATAGTAAACCAGAATGTCTCACAGCCACCCCCAACTCTTATTTTGCTTACGTTTATGTTAGACATTGTCAATAATTCAGTCTATCACTTACGTTAATGTTTATGTCTGTGCGCTATGATTATGTTTACGTTTGCATTGTGAATGGGCCTTTAGGTAGTTTGTGCCAGCCTTAGCGTCAGCAATATTGATCTTCTCTGCATGCGCCAAAATGGCACGAAACTCGACGTGCGCATGAGCAGAAGATCGATAGTGCTTTAACGTTCGAGGTGGCGCAAAGTCCCTATTACAATAGGGCCCGTTTACAATCGTAAATTCGAATCGAAATGTACGGTTTGTGTCGCCCCACTCCTCACCCACCGTCTTCAGGTGGCTCACCATTGGCTAAATTGATGCCACTGCAGTGCCTAAGGTCGGGATTCGAGTCCCGACGGATTGGGTGCAGGATTAAGTTCAGGATTTTCGACATCGGCTACATAACTAAGTCGAATTCGGTGGCTGAGTGTAGCAGCATCCTAACGGCTGGCTTCTCTGATCGACAAATTACCATGGTTTCTTCGATCAGTATCAAGTGAATGCCAGAGTACTTCCCTAACAAACTGACTACAGACGGCGAGCAATCTTTCCTTCCTCTTCGTTGTTTTAACGTCACCCCTTACTTATACACACACGTACTGCACTATCACATATGTCGGGAGCTTAGAGCTTGTACCGTCTGGGACGGTGCCCCGCTGGCGGGAGATACCTGGTTGAAAAAAACCCTCAAACCGACGTGTAGATTGGCGCCGGATCTCACCAACCAGCGACGGAAGATCACAGTCATCTAACGCGATAAAACGTGTATTTCACTTACGGGACTACTACTTCACTTCGTGTGTCGCAATATAACACGAACACGATTGCTGATATCTGATAAGGCAGATCCCGAACAACAGCCCACATTAAAAATAATATTTCTTTCAGTAAAAATGCTTGCAGCAAGTTGGTTATGAGAATATCGAGTCGCATTTCTGGTGCGCGTTCTCGATACATGGTTCTTCGTGAGCCTCAGTCCCATGTAGCGTATCTTGCTTACGAGAGCGAGAAAGAATATGATGCATTTGATCCCTTTTTTCACTAATTTTCTCTTCATTTCTTCGTGTTTTTCTGTGTCGTCCTTTGTTTGTTTGTTTGTTTGTTTGTTTGTTTTGTAATGTGCGGAGACCTTTTCACTGCGGGATCGCTCCGTCCACTCCGTACTTAATCCGGGCCTGATTAGAATCACATACATGGCCGTACGCTGGCGTTGAGTCTCCAGAGACCCAACAGTCTTGTGACCACGACGAACTACCGTTCCGTTTCAGGACCGGCAGCGTTGCACCAAAGCATGCACCCACGGCTCCCTGTCGGACCCCGGGTACGGCGCCGCGGACACCGTGCACAACCTCAAGCGAGACTTCCGCATCAACGGCTGCGGTGGCCCGGGGGGTGTGGGGCGGGGCAGCGCGGGACGGCACGCCGCCTCGCGCCGACTCCCGCGCCTGGGCATGCGGCCCGACCGCCCTCGTCTACTCTGCGTGCCGACATGAACGCCTTTCGTCACCGGGGAGGAGCGCGGCCAGCGCTGTGGCCGCGCCTGCGGCCCGACGGGCGGCGGAGGCGCGCGACGCGGTAGAACGGCGCCGGCCGCCCGCGCACCCCGTTAAGCACATCCTCAAGGAGGTGAGTCTGCGCCGTCACGTCCTGCTTCGCGTTCCTCTCGTCTTGTGAATAGGAGGGTCAACCTGGAACAGCTGCCACCACATCGAATGAAATTAAAAAAAAACTGTCAATTATTACGCCTAATTAATTACTACAATAGAAGCGTGTTTTGCAGCGTTTTTTTGTTGAGAAAACGCATAGCTCGACGGAATCTTTCAAAATAATGTATTGCTAATTAAGTGCTAATTAATTGTTCGTACTTTCGCATTCATGGCTATGTATTTTTGTTGACAAAACGGGCATAAGCTGGCTTGACGCAATGCCTGCATACACGTAAGTTTCCATTCGAATTGTAAACAACGTGTAGTACAGTATACAACGATACAATGTATCGTTTACAGCCAGATGGCGTGGCGCCACGCCACGAAAATTGTGGCAATTAATTAGCAATTCATTGTTTGGCAGTTTACATGGAGCTACGAAATGAATTCAACTTATCTATGGGTTGGCGTCGCGTCAAGCCAGCTCACACCAATTTGCTTAAAGAAAATACGCTGCGATAAATTCGAAATAGTGGCAATTAATTAGCAATAAATTGTTTCACAGATTTTGTTCGGGTGTGCAGACATGTCTGTTCTAGCTTGACGCACCTGTTGTGAACGCTTACCTGGGAAGTTCATCCTTTAAGTTTCTTAACATTCCCGTTCCAGATAAATGTGGAGTAGCCTTCAAAGGTTTAAAAAATGGCGAGAAGAGTGTTGATCAGGGGGCGGGGTCTCGCAGGAATCACGATTCCCCTTCGAAACCTTGGTGAAAACATTATTTTGCAAGGATATATGAGGTGGACATCACTCACAATCTATCTTAACAGGGGCGGAAACAAGAGATAATCTCATAGGGTCTGCCCCCCCCCCAGAAAGCGATAAAGGATATTCACAAATATAGTTATTTTTCTAATTTTCTAGTGTTTATTTAATATCTCAATTGAATACGTTATAAATAACTATTCATCAAGAAATAAAAATAAATTTGAAATTCAACCTATATGAAATATTATTCATAAGGAAACATCAAGTCAGCTAGATTAGACCTTCAATCCTGAGAGAAAAAATTGGGTACCATACTGTATATAAATAAAATTGAAGTATCTGTATGTGATATCAAAGTTACAGCCTTTTTGTAATCTCTTACAATTATTTACATCTTATAAATATTCATTATTCCATTCAGTATTACAAGTCATATCGCTCTGTTTGTCTGGTTTTGGGGGAACGACAGTGCCAATTTTAATGGGGTTTCAAACTGAAGGTATGTAATTTGTCAAGCAATTTTCGTACCGTAAACAGGATGTAATGTTTTCTGGTATTTTTCGATCCAAATTTGCCCTGCTTGTTCCATTAGTACAATTCACTCGGGTTCTGATTATGTAATTTTAAGTACCCGCCACTGCGACTGGTTGACGTGCCATTTGTACGAATAAGTACGTTTTCTGAAAATTGCTTTTTATTCTACTATTAAAGAATTATATTGATTGAATTGCTCAAACTGATTTATATTAGAATAATTGAAAATGAAATATCAAGTATTGATTGAATTGCTGATTATCTAATAGTTATATAATATATATAATATATATATATTATATATATATATATATATATATAATATATATATATATATATATAATACTTGATATTCATTTTCAATTATTCTATTATAAATCAATTGAGCTCCTAATTTTTTAATCATGACTCCCATTTAATATTTTATAAAATTATTTAAAATAGTTTTTTGTTTAAGATACGTCACCGATCTTCGACTTTCACGGATGGAAGTCGCCACAAAGATCTTTCTTCATATCTTGTTCCGCTCCGATGTCTTAATATAACTGACTTTAATTTGCGACGTTCTGTACGTTCACTCGACTTCCTAGCTTTGTCACCGCAGATGGGTGCCTGCTCCCGAATACTGTCCTATAAAATTCCTCTATATAGCACGTTCAACGCCGGCAATATATGACTTTGCTCCTCACTGTTCCGCGTAGTTAGTAATAATCTTTCTCGATTCACAGATAGAAATTTAACCAGTAATTAATCATTACCATTTTTTTATTCATCGGCGCTATCTGCCACCCGATCCATCAGGCCTTGCTCCCTTCTACTCTGACGTCATTTTATTTATTTTACCTCGCCGGCGTACCAATTTACCTAGCCCAGATACATATTACAGAAGGGTTCGTCAATTGTCTATAACCAATATAATTAGTCCCAAATATTCCGACCATTTTCGATATGTCACAAGGTTTTAATTTTTTTTTAATTATGAACATTAGTGACTTTAATTTAAATAAATAATTATTCAACAATTTGTCAGTCAAAAAATTAGAGTTTCAACATAGACTTTGAATAATTCAACTTATTTTATTTTCACACTTTATCATTACAACGAATAGAATTTGATAGATTTTGTTTTAAATTATGTGGCATACAAGATTTTGTTTTTATAAAATGTAACAGGAAAATATTATTTTTGGAGTATGACTTTTTTTTAATGTGTATTCTTAGACAATGAATCTATTGATGTCAAAATCTCAATTTCATAAATTATCTGGGTTACGACATTCGTGAGTCTATGATTAATAAGCAGTAGTGGGAAAATCAACCTTTATTATTTAATTATAAAATTAAGACTGTTATTTAGCTTTATTAATTGAGAAATATGGTTACATAAGCTATCGAAGCGGAAAAAAGGCGTTCTGGAAGATGCTGTTTTTAATCTTTTATTGAATTAACTTTCGCAAAGTGTCAGAGAAAGTATCAAGGAATTAATATTTCTCACAATCGCAAAACCTTCAGCCTAAATGTAGGCCCTCTTTAACCTGGGCCCGTCCGCACTGCAGGCCTTGCTGGCCCAAACATTAGGCTACTGACAACTAACATACAAATAAAGTTATGAGTTGTGTTCCTTTCAATGTAACATAGTAAATGTGTTTAATTTGTAAATGATATTCTCCGTAGACTTCTTTGTATATATTGCACACATTGCAATACAATGAAAGGTATTGTATTATTAACATAAAATACCTCATCTTCTGGGTCAATGACGCCCTTCTTGATCTCGTTTTTCATCAATTTTCCCTAATCCTTTGAGCAAATGCCGAGATGGCCTCTTGTTGTGCTTTTAGAAATAAATATAACTTCACTATCTGTGCATGTGTTCTAGAGTTCAAGTGGGAATATAGTTATTTGAATTATTGTTCTCCATATTCTTGTGGCAAGGAGTCAATTCCTTCATGAAGGGTATGTTGAGGTATAAAAGATAAAATCGTAGCTGCTTTATGTTTGCAAATAGTTTTTATTGCTTCGAAGTAAATATTTTGTTATCAGTTCTTTCCCAAAACATTTTTATACATTCTACACATTCTGAATATTGAAGTACGTTGTGGTATAAACAAAAACAATTCTCAGCTTCTGGGTCAATGATCCTCATCTTCATTAGGTTTTTTGTCCAATTTTCCTGACCCTTTGAGGAAATGCTGAGATGGCTCCTCTTTCTCTTCTGAACATAAATGTAACTACGAACAAATTCTAGACTTCAGAGGGGAGTATAGCTATTCAATTGATCATTTTCCGCGTTCTCAAGGCAAAAAGTCAATTCCTTCAGGTTGGACACAATGAGGGATAACAGCCTAAATCTGAAGTTGATTGCCTTTGCAAATAGTTTTTATTATCCAAGTGTGAATATTATCTTCCTTACCAAAAATGCTCCTTTCCATCTATATTCGTAATTCAACTTTTAATAAGTTTAAGACAGGGATCCCAGAACTTAAGAACCTACCCTTTTAGCACTAACATGTCACACACAGTTTTTAAATGCTGTTTACATTAATTTAATAAATAAATGGAGTAATAATAAAATAAAGTAATGCAGAATACAATTCAAATACTCCCTCCTTCATATTTATCAGTATACAGTGTAATGTTTATTACTTCTATGTATGTGAGAACTTATATGTTCTTACATACATGTATAGTACTCATTACTTTTACACAGTAATTAAGTAGGCAAGATTATTTTGTTTGAAACTGGGGCCTTCATTGATCTACTGCCCAAGCTTCTTTTCTTTAGACACCTTTAATAAATATATCATATTCTGAAGCACACATATGTAATACAGTGGTGATACATTTAATATATAAATTCACTATTTTTTACTTTTTCAGTAAATGGCACAGCATATCCTGGTGAACTGTTGGCTATTATGGGCGCTAGTGGAGCAGGAAAAACAACCCTGCTAAATGCATTGATGTTCCGATCTCCTTCGAATGTTTCTGTAAGTGGCCAGCGAGCTGTCAATGGTTTCCCTGTTACAAGCAATGCTCTAACAGCTTTGTCAGCATATGTCCAACAGGATGATCTCTTCATTGGTACATTGACTGTTAAGGAACACTTAACATTTCAGGTTTGTTTTATTGAACTGCAGGAAAAATAAAAATTTAGTTTATGGTGCATGTGACAAAATTTTCTACACCAAGAATAATTTTATTAAATATTCCCATTTCAGGCCTTAGTTCGAATGGACAGAAACATTCCATATGAACAGCGTATGAGACGTGTCCAAGAAGTTATCACAGAAGTAAGAATATTTGTTCCTATTCATTGCCCTTATACTTTTTGGGGTGATATATTTTTAGTTCCTCCTTAAACAATCAATGCAATTAAAAAATAACTAATTAGAATAAATAATTAAATGTAGTGAAATTATTTATTTTTGTTGAATAATCAATTTCAGTTAGCTCTCACAAAATGTCAACATACTATAATAGGAGTTCCTGGAAGAATTAAAGGGATTTCAGGTGGAGAAATGAAACGTCTTTCTTTTGCATCAGAAGTAAGTCTATACATTAAAAATTTGACTTTTATAACATAAAAAGAATTATTTTATGAAATAATGATGGTACTTAAAGAACAATTATTATTCATAAATTATTTTTTGTCAGGTTCTTACAGATCCGCCCCTAATGTTTTGTGATGAGCCGACATCTGGATTAGATTCTTTCATGGCTCAAAATGTTGTGCTTGTACTAAAAAACATGGCCCTAAAGGGTAAAACTGTTGTGTGTACTATACATCAACCATCTTCTGAAGTATTTGCTCTATTTGACAAAATTTTACTCATGGCTGAAGGTCGTGTTGCATATCTTGGCACTCCAGAAGGTGCATGTAACTTTTTTAAAGAGTAAGTAAAGTTGTGCTGTTTTTGTTTTTAATTTTGTGTATTAATATTTAAAGGTAACATGTCAACTTAATTTGAGAGTTCTTTTAAAAAAATACATAATTTTATTGGAATATATTGATGATAATTTATTTTCTTTCCTTAATATTTATAATTTTTCAAAGATATCATTCTTTTAATTATTCTAATAATTATTATTTTCATTATTTTATTGATTGTAATACTTATTATCATCATTATTACTGTGACTGTTATTTATTTTTATTATTACTATTTGTTTTTATTTCACTTTTTTGTAGTGTGTCCTTATTTTGTTGTGTGTCCTTTTCTGATACCATTGACAGATTTTATCTTTACTTTATTCTTTTTTTTATTTAGAATGGGTGCATCTTGCCCTAGTAACTACAACCCAGCAGATTTTTTTATTCAATTGTTAGCTGTAGTACCCACTCGAGAGGAAGCTTGTAAACAGACAATTGAACTTGTCTGTGATGCTTTCCAACGATCAGAAGAAGGTTTACGCCTTGCTGCCGAAGTTGAAAATGTAGCTGATACACAGGTCAGAGAAAACTGTTTAATAAAGAATTATGTTTTAGAAATATGCAAACATTAATTATGAATTTGACACTTCTTTTTCAGGTAAAAGCTGTAATGGCTGGAGGTCTCTGGGGTGAAAATCCTTGGCAAACAGCAGATGCCAGTTGTTCACCATACAAAGCTTCATGGATAGCTCAATTCCGAGCTGTTTTTTGGAGGTCTTGGCTGAGTGTATTAAAAGAACCTATTCTCATACGAGTACGAATGCTGCAGACACTGGTACACAATCAGTTGGTTGATATGTTTAATGTCAGAATTGATGCTAAAGGTGCAATATTAATCAGGTTTATCCTTCCAGATGGTATCATTAATGATTGGCATAATATACTTTGGACAAGAACTCAACCAAGATGGAGTCATGAATATAAATGGAGCTCTTTTCATATTTTTGACAAACATGACATTTCAGAATGTTTTTGCTGTCATCAGTGTAAGTCTTCAAAATTTAATTCAAATATTTCCTTTTTGCTCTATTGTCATCATTTTTTGCTTTTCATTTTGCATTACAAAACAAAGTATTTGAGAACACAAAATTTGTTTTAAATCTCTGCCAGATTTTTTTTTAACGAAATTTGCTTGTTCTAGGTTTTTTGTAGTGAACTACCTGTGTTTATGCGAGAACATTTCAATGGCATGTATCGCACAGACATATACTTCATTTGCAAGACAATGGCAGAAATACCTATATTCATAGCAATACCAGTTTTGTTTACATCTATTTCATATTACTTAGTAGGATTCAATCCTTCCGTAGATCGATTTTTTGTTGCAACTGCTATAGTTATGCTGGTGGCTAATGTTGCAACATCATTTGGTAAGTAAAATTTAATTTAACACTTTACACTAAGAAAAATCCAGATATTCTCAAACTGAAGAATATGATAAGTAGAAAAAAAATACATTGATGTAATTTGAATATAAAATTACAATGAATTCACTTTCAGTCAATGAATTATATAAACTTGAAGATTATGTAAGAACAAACGTTTACTTGTTAAATATTTTCTTAAGAAGCATGAATCAATTTTTCCCCCCAGGTTACCTGATATCTTGTGTCAGCACCAGCGTGACAATGGCACTCTCTATTGGTCCTCCTGTTGTTATACCTTTCTTATTATTTGGAGGATTTTTTCTGAACACTGGGTATGTTCAAAAACTATCACATTAATTTGCACTAGAATAAAAATGTTATTGCCAAATAGATTTTTCATGATGTTTTGTTGTGTCAACTTAACATAACCAAAAAGAGGAATAAAAGATACTCTTAAAGTCTGGTTGTCATTATGATTTTACAGGTCAACAAGTGAGTTGTAGCTAAAGATGATATATGAGTATTTCTGCTCCAAGAAAAAAATTTTAGTTTTATGATTTTTTTTATAAGGTTGTATTTTGAAATCTATTGGACAACACATAGCTAACATTGAAAATAATGAACTTGGTTGGTTATAAACCTCAGTTATTACCTTGGTTTACACATTTCAATTGTGTCTATTATTTGCTCTATATTGGCCTAATAATGTTAATAAAGATTGTGATATTATTACAATACACAATAATTACTTGAATTATTGAGGAATATTAATTGTTTGGTTTTTCACAGTTCTGTCCCAGAGTATTTCACTTGGTTAAGTTATTTATCTTGGTTTCGGTATGGCAATGAGGCGTTACTTATAAATCAGTGGTCTGGTATTGATCATATTGATTGCATGGACTCAAACAGCACATGTCCTCGAAATGGTCAAGTAATTCTAGAGACCTTGAGCTTCAGTGAGGTACAAAAATAACTTGTATTCTAAATTTTTATTATTAATATTATTTTATTTTTTCAGATTTTAATATCTCAATTGTTATGTTTCAGAATGATTTTACTATGGATATCTGTAGCCTGTTTGGACTGATAGCTGGATTTAGATTCTTGGCATTCTTAGCTTTATTAGTCAGAACTCTTCGCTCAGATTGATTCCTCAAATTGTACTCTTTTGTAAAACAATTTTCTAATATATAATATAAAACAATTGATATCTAATGATTTTCTGTAATGATGTCTTCAAAATATAACTGGGATAAGAAAGCGGCAGTGATCTCTACAGAGTGAACTGTGTGTGTGTGTTTTTTTCTTTTTTTCATAGCAAAAATACTACAAGAAAATGAATGCAACTTGAAATCTTGAGTAAGTGTTAGTTATAAGTTATAAATCTTAAATAAAACTAATAACGTTTTTTGATCGTATGGTAATATACTACTCATATCTATTTTATGCTTAAGTAGCTACATTATTTTCACTTAAAATATTATTGGAATATTATCAAAGTACAGTACTATATAGGAACGTCTCAAATAAGAAGAGTAAGTATGATAATCTGTGATGCTTAAGTTATAATAGGTATTTTAAATAATACATTAAGATAGACAATTTAGTTTTTTCTGTATCCATAACATGAATCCTCCTGAACTTCAACATTTGGAATCCTATGTTAAATTTAATGGTTTGTACACAAATTGATGACTAACAGATCGTAGAACTGCATACTTTGGGCTTTTTGTGTTTTGTAACAGCAATCATTCTTTCAGCCAGATCCCATCTGTAATTTTAAAGCATCTTCTTTTTCCTTCCCATGAAAATGATATATATGTGAAATTATGAATATATTATATCATTGATTTTTTCAAGCATAATCATGTGTTTACAAATTTGTGCTGCAATTGAGACTGGAAAATTATATTCACTACAGTAAAATGGTCAGTACTTGTGTTTGAATATGAACACTTGATAAAACTCTGAAAGTTTAGAAATACAGTAATAATATTTTTTTTAAAAATACTTTTAAACATTAGGGCAATATAATGCTGTGAATGTCTTAAGTTTTGGAGAAAATGTGTTATAGCTCACTATCACTTTCTGCACCTCGATTGAAATTTTCACGGATTAAAAAACACAATTATTTACACTTTCCTGTAAGTCTAGCTTTAGGAATATTTCAATGAAAAATTAATTCCTTTGGAAGGTTGTTATTTTTCAGGTCAGTCATTTTCCCTACAAATTTTCCTTCTATTCCATGAGTAGTCAACTTTTAGAACAGCAAAATGATGTACACATAATTGTAATTCTACTTTTCAGAAGTACAATTTAATTGTTTTCTTCATGTAACATGATGTCCTTACCTACACAAAAAATAACTGTGAATACCTATTCATCTTGCATGGTTACTTAAGGATTACAATTTCTGATAGTATGTCTTGCCTGGGCAGGCATCCCCATGTACTTTTACAAGAAGTCTTGTGCAGCAGTCAGTACTGCATCTTTGTAATAAGTATTTTTAGGTTTAAAATATGTGAAATCATATGATAAGAAAGCTAGTAACCTAATTTCATTCAAGAAACAGAATTGACACTTTATTGAGTTTATTTTTCCTTTAATTTGAAACAAACCTAATACATTTATATTTATTAATAATTTGTTTTTCAGAATGAAAATATAAAGTAGTAAAATTATGGTGAGGTGAAACCATCTCTAAACTTCTTGAACTTCATTACCTGAAAGAATATTTGTAATTAAAATTATCATTAGTAAAATACTTGTATAGGAGGATTAACAGATCAGTGATAATTTAAAATTCATATGAGATGTAAAATTGAATGAAGGAAAAATAATGAAACATGCTTTCCAGTAAGCAAAATGTCCTTCTATCGATTATCAATAAGATGCAACAACAGCCAATGAAAAATGCTTGCTAATACTCCAAACTGAGAATACCTTAAAATAGAGCACATCTACAGTAATGTAATGCTTGTGAACACTCATCATCTTTTGAAGGATTTGTATTGTGAACAGGATAAATTATTACTTACTGTATAATATGAATCTCATGTTGCGTTTTCATTAGTGTGCTTGCGCCTTATGACAGTTGCATTGATTACGCATATATTTTTATAAATATCTTTATTTTGTATAAAATAGATATTTGCTTTTAATGGGTACATTAAGGGTGCAATCTTTGTAGACATAGGGTCCCCAATGAAAGGATTTTAAATTTTATGTTTTATGTTATTTTATTTCAAGATAATTGATGTTGAAGAAAATAAACAAACAAACATCTCACTTTTTTGGGTATCTGTTTTCTTAATAAGCAACATGTATCTGTAAATTGCTAATTATTCTGCATATTTTTCTTGAAAACGTTTATTGATACTGTTGTTTATTTAATTTATTACAATAAATATACACATTTTTAATTTTGTAACCTGTGCTGTATTCATGGTTCAACAAAGCTAATCTCAATTCAGTGCATCTGTTTTATGCATTCTATACAACAGGAAAATCTTGATTGTTTAGGATATATAGTGCTGTTGAGTCCATCTTTAAAATACCTAAAGTTGATTAAAGAGTACACATGACTTGCACCCCCACATTCACAGAGTGTACTCTCCTACAAATGTCAGTGAAACAGGATGCAAAAATGAATGGAACTTCCCCTTCTCATGGTAAGAAGTGGCTGCTGAGGGGTCTTCGAATTCTGTTCAAAGTGATTCTAATGCCAATTGAAGGTAGATGGTGGAGGGCAGGTGTATTTAGCAACAGTAGCAACAGCACAACATTGTGGAAACATTAGTTTTCAAAATTTCATTGAGTTCAGAGGAAAGGGCTGGATGAATTACTGCATGTAAAAATCATGAGAAACGGTATTCTGATGGTTTAATATATTTGATAGGGCATTTTAGTGTATATTTTTGACGATTTTACTGCATAAATGCATATATATTTTGTAGATCATTAGTGCAACATAAATCCGACAATTTAATAATTACTTAACACAGCAATATTTTACATTCATACGTTTTGATGAAAGATATATTGAGAAACATTTCAAGAATATAATATAACCACATGTGTTCTATAAGTATTATATTGCTTTAATAGTTGATCAGTAATAATTGATAGATTTTTATTGGTGGAAATTTATTATAGTTTATGGTGTTGGACCTGTCTACTGATTCTGTATTGGGAACTATAATGAGGACCTGATGAAGCTTACATTAGAGGTTGATGTTTCCTAAGAATTTCTTTACTTGTAATAAGTGTGCATGCTGTAGGGTAGAAAAGTTGAGGAGCACCAGAATGGTTCATGGGCAGCACACTTGTTTTACATGCCTAAAAGCCTGATTCAATTCCTAGACGAGGAAGAAATGAAATTATTAAAATTATTTTTTTCAACTTAAAACTATTCAGAGAGCCAGCTTTAGATAGCTTAGTCATCAAAAGTCTAGACATAATCAGTTTAGAAAGGCACAAAATACACACAAAATCTAAAAAAATAAGAAATAAGAAGATAACACAATTAACGAAGTTAACATAAATACATTTAAGAACTGTTTTCCAATAAAAATGAGATAATAAAAGTAATGAAATTAAAATAGATACATTTTTTAAAAAACCAATATCAAATTAATTATCAAATGATACGACAAAAGTGTTTTTGTGTGTATATGTGGTGTATGAATGGTGTGTGTGGTACATGTGGTGAGTGTATGATGTGTGTGTGTTGTGTGTATGTTGTGTTGTGTTGTTTGTGTGTGCATGTTGTGTGTATTGTGTTGTGTGTTTTGTGTGTGTGAGTTGTGTTGTTTGTGTGTGTGTTGTGTTGTATGTGTGTTGTGTTGTGTGTGTGTGTTGTGATGTGCGTGTTGTGTTGCATGTGCGTGTTGTGTTGTGTGTGCGTGTTGTGTTGTGTGTGCGTGTTGCGTTGTGTCTCCATATTGTGTTGTGGGTGTTGTGTTTTGTGTGTGTGTTGTGTTATGTTATATGTGTGATGTGTTTTTTGTATGTTGTATTGTGTGTGTGTGTTGTGTCTTGTGATTTGTGTGTGTTATGTTGTGTGTGTTGTGTTGTGTGTGTTTGTTGTGTATGTTGTGTTGTGTGTGTGTTTTGTTGTGTGTGCATGCGTGTTGGGGGTGTGTTGTGTTGGGTGTGTTCCGTTGTGTGTGTTGTGTTGTATGTGTCGTGTGTGTTTTCTGTTGGGTGTTTGTTGTGTTGTTTGTGTGTGTGTGGTGTTGTGTGTGTGCGTGTGTTGTGAGTGTGTGCGTGTGTTGTGTGTGATGTGTTGTTTGGGT